TTAATATGGAAATCATGTACGTGCAACAGTCCTAAATAATGCATAGCTCTAATAAGCTAGTTGCCAATATATCAAGGTTGTTCAAAGACTTGGTGAACTTTGCATATTCAGCCCCAAGACACTGCAGTGCCGTCTGTTTTCTGCACCCCTCCTCCAATACACTAGTGTATAGTGCAAACTGCTCTATGATATTGCCTCAGCCTCAATTCCCAAATGTGTAACCGCCTGTTCTTCACAATGAAGTGTGCAGGGGGTAACCAGTGTGGAGGCTAACATCATTAGCCGCAGAGGAGCACATGGGGAGGTCTGCTGTGGATCATCACCATGGAGAGGCTCTACTCCATTTCCTCTGCAGACCTCGCTGAGTGTTGTGTTTGTCTTGTAACCCGAGACAACGGGAGGATCTGCACAAACAAGGGTGCAGCCCCACATCATCGAGGATTTCCCTGATTCATAGGGTCCAAACTAATCAAAAGAGAGCTATACACAGCTGCATCTTATCCACCGTATCTACAAATAGATATAAGGAGTTTTCAAGGACAATAAGGGCGAACATATTGTTGTAATTCTAGATTAATATTACAAAAGTGTACAAAAGCAGGGTTGAATTACAGTCTAGTTAACTCGAGAAACACTGGCTGCAACCATATAAGATGTTGGGTTAGTAAAAGACATTAAGGTTGTCACTTTGCATAAGAGAGCTTAAATAAACATACCCACAAATAATAAATATACCCAATCAAATGATATATTTGCTATGATAGTTTAACCGAATACATATTTCATTAGTTTTAAAAAAAAAAGTAGTTTAGAGACTATCAAACCCAGGAAGTAGACAGTGTGCAATTTTTGTTGATGTGAACTGGTTTTTACCCCACTTTCACAATCTGCTGTTGTGCACCAGCTCTCTGCAGAGAACACAGCATCGCTGCAGACTCGCAGTAGTTGCGGATGCAGCTGAGATCTCGGGTGCTGCCACAGCCTCATCAAATTTCGAGGAAACGACAGCCTTTGTTGACTGATGGGGTTGTGGTGTGAATAAACACCAAAAGGTTGAAGAGAGCGGAGGCGTGGAACTATGACTGAAGATGAAACCTCTGTCTTTTGAAAAGTTCGCCTTCACAAAAAGACAGTATCAAAAAAAACATGTGAATTATAATTATTTTTTTATTTTACAACTTTACAAATGTGTTAGCTTACAACCTGATCGGTATTATGAATCATAGTCTGCTTTTTCTCTCAAAAAGACAAACAAACTTCCCCAACTTCTGTCATCTTTGGTGCATTGGACCAGCACAATCTACCCAACTCAAACGCCTGGGTTATTTCTTCCAACACACTCAAACTTTCCAGGCTGCTGTTTAGAAATCAACATTTTCAGGAAGCAGAGCTAGACTCATGCAAATCCCCCCCTCCTCCACTCACGTTGAGGTAAAACGAACCTGGGAATATGAATTGGCTTTATGAAAATGGGCTTCATGACTGCATGACATGGAAAATGGCTGCTTTACGTTCCTGCTTTGGCCTAGGGCTTATTAACAACAGACCATTACTGCTAGGGAATTTTACAAGAATTAGGATAGAAAACATCAGAAGACTGACTGCCCATTACCCTTGTTTTAATTTGCATAGGAAAACATTTTCTTTAGATTATAAAAATAATTTCTCTGAATTTAAATAATGTTGACTTCTTTCAGTTAAGTCCAGCCATTTAGGTCAACTTAGTGGCAGTTGGGGGTGGAAGATGAAAGGAACCTCGCATCAGCAGTTAAGTCCATTTAAGTCCAATTTTCAATGTTGAGAGATGTTGTCAAAAGTAGGAGAATCCACCAAGTGAAAAAAAGGCTCTGAGTGTCCAAAAGTTCACCTGATCAACAGGGCAAGTGTAGCCCCAATACCAGCAACTCCAGCAAAGGCCATGAGCGTGTTCCTCACCGTGGACTCTGGGTCTGCTTCCCGAAAGAACTCAACGAAGCCATCCTGCAAATAAAATGAATAAAAATACATTAGATTTACATTATAAAGTGAGGCACAGAGGCAAAACTGCTTTGGACTTGTTTGACTTGCACAATACAAGGGCAGTTACACAACTTCCTGTCAGTCAAGCATTAGTCATAACTTACCCAGCCATTGTTTTTGACCAGCCAGTCTCTCTGTTCAGATAGCAAGTATGTAGAAATCTCCTTGGCCACCAGCTCCACACAGTTATCCCTGTTTTTCTCTTTCAGGTACTGACAGACCACAGCACCAAAGGCCACCAGGCTCGCGATACGACCCCAGTTGGTGTTCCCGTCAGCAAAGAGGCTTATTGCTACTGCACTGACAAAACTAGCATCATCCTCTCTGTCATCAAGTGACAATTTGTTGAGCATACCTAAAAAGAAAACAAGGCAGGGTCAGAAATACATCTTCTAAAAGACTCAAAGGCTTGTATTGTCATATGCACAATGGATGCAGTGTAGCTGTTGGCAAGCAAAGTCTAAAGTCCAAGGCTCTTCACAGTAAACTAGAAAAAAATATATGGGGATGAAAAAAGTGCACGGTGCAGGTAAAATGAGGGGAGAAGTGAACTATATAGATGTGACTGAATTAGATAAAACGGAATGTTAAATTAAATCTTGATTGTATGTTTCAAAAGGTAAGATTTTGTGCACATCAACTCAAACAATTTCCATTCAAGTTATGACTGCTGGCTTTAATTGATCTAAGAGGCAGTACAAAAAGCCAGTTCAACAATATATATGTTGTGCATAATTAAAATAATTAAACAGCCTGTAGCTTTAGCATTTAAAGGCTATGAGTAGCAGTCTTTGAATAATAAATAGCAATTTATATACTATCATATGTATATATATGTTTCTGCTACTGTAATATGTATATATTTTCTCCATCTTTTAATCCTTTTAATGCCTGAACAAATTGCTGCTGTAACAAAATAATATCCTAATCTGGGATGGATAAAGCAGCTTCCTATATCCATCTACTAACTTCCATTCAAATTAGTTAACTACTGGCTTAAATGTAACCAAGAGGTACTAAAAACAAATACAGTTAGAAACGACTATATATACACATTGTGCATAATTCAATAATAGATATAACACAGCATGTAGCTTTAGCATTTCATGGCTATCAGCAGCAGAATATAGCCCACACACACATACGTGTCACTACTACCTACCATTGTATGCGTATCTGTGTTTAGACATAACGCTCTCCACCACTCGTTTCATCGTCCTTAGTTCTCTGCTTTCATTCCACTGAGGTTTGGAAAGTCCAGTTAAGTCTCTGAAGAAACGGCCAATTAGTTGCCTGGTGTCGTTCGCCAGCACCTCGTTCCCCGCAGAGCCACCGGACTCATCGATCTCACTGTCCGACTGGAGCTCCGGACTGCACGGTAACGAACCGTCTTCAATTTCCTCGCTGTTTTTTAACGCAAACCCATTGGTCGTCTTCACCCCTAGGCTCTTGGGTCTTTTCGGGGTATCGTTGGACACGACCTGGCCGTTGCTGGAGTCTTTCGGTGGGGAAGAAGTGCCTCCTCCAGAGCCGTAGTGCATGGCTCCGTTCACGCCTCCATTTTGAGGAATAATCAAACAGCTCATGGCTCCAGTTACGCTTAAGACTCTTTTTGTCGTGGGATACATGTTTGGCGATTAACTTTAAAGATTACTAAATGAAAAATAAAGGGTATTGGTAGAGAACCTTGCTAGTCTGTGGTTACAAAAAAAAATTAAACTAGCCTATTCTCTAACGGTGACTCAATATCCATGGTCGAGATGGGAGTGAAACGGAAGTGAAGCCAACGGTCGGTCTTATGAACGGTTCTTATGTTGCGCGTCATTACGTCTCGTGCGTCAATATGACGTCACAACGTGTTCTCTAGTCCAAACCTTTTTTCCAACTGTTCTTATTTTTTCGAGTTGTTGAACATAAGGAAAATGAAATAGGTTGAGAAGAAGGAGAACATGTATTTTTCAGAGTGTGGGAAGGGTTTTAAAGCAAACTAATATAAAGCAGGCATTTCATAGATTTTTGGTAATGTTTGGTAATTTTCCGTGACATCAAACAGAGAGATAATAGATTACCGGAAACAGTGCCATAAATAACGACTTCTCTTTACAGAGGCAATCACAAAAATAGCAGTAATGTTTTTACATGATACTAATAATAACTATTCCATGAAGATAAAATACATTACATTTGTAGTACATTGTAAACCAGTATATTGTTTTCTATTTATACCATGACATTGTATTTTCCATACTGTTCTTTTTATTTTAAGCTTAATGAATAGTATGCTTTTATGTCTTCGATAGACAATGATATTGTGAAATTAAACGTTTTTTAACTAAACATGTCAGATATGTATATTATAAGATTTGAAGTTGTTACATTTGTTTTATATATTGTTTAAGTTCAATTTCAACCATGACACATTTTCCCATAGGTCATCACCAATGACATTGTGCTATGCAGCAGTTATGGTGGCTTAGATAAAGTGTCTTGATCGGTTTATGGTTTGATAAATGACAGCAAACGTTGATGTCACTGATCCTAGCCAATAAATACAAATAAAACTGGTGACATATCGCTGACATTTAGAGCCACCGTCCTGCACTTTGGCACACATTACAGTTCTGATATTACATGAGGGTGAGTGGACACATTTCTTCATGTTTAATCACAGCAGGGTATGTGTCATCTAAGTATGTGAGACATGTACACCTAGGACTCCTTTTTACAAATCAAGAAAAATCCAGAGTATGTTAGGAACTCTTTTGTCAATTAAAGGCCACATGTTGAGTGCTAGTGCTTCCCCCTGGTGGTCAGAGGAAGGTTGTACTCCTTTTAGCATTTCCTTATGTGTTTCCCCACAAGATTCATTCATTTACACTTAACATGTGAGACCTTTTCTCATTTGCTTCCATGTGTTGAGGGGGATTCGCCATACAGCTTTGGAAAATACAAGAGCCTAACATTAACGAAAAACAAGGGAATCGTATTAATGTAAAAGTTTATTTCAAATACTGACAAAAATCCTCTCACCTACTCCCACACAACTGAAACAATCCAAGTACTCGTGTACTTTCTGAAGTCTTTAAATCATTCCTGTGTTCTCCAGTCATCCTTTTTAACATGTAAACCCTTATTTGTATTTTTCCTTGGAAGCAAGGGGTGCCTCTGATTTCCCTGTAGTAATCTTGGGCCAGGATGAAATATACTAATTATGGTAAGTAAGAGAACACAAGAAAATTAAACATATTCTTGCAAATAAAAACAACAAGAAAACCGATAAGGTAAAAGCAGCACAAAAGTACTTCAGAGCACACAGCCTGTCATTTCTTTTTACATTCTGGCACGTGTTTATATAGCTGAATGAGAGACACCCTTTGTGTTTGAAACATACCCTGCTATTTCCTCTCGTTGAACCGCTCTGTGCAAAGCCAAACATCAAGTAGCATTCAAGAATTCCTGTCCGTTGCCGTTTAATAGAACATGTAAAAGCTTAAACACCCATTTTCTTTAGCAATCTTAACTTTTAAAGCACAAAACTTTAGTCTTTTTAGCACAATATAATGCTTAATGGTCTGTGACACAAAGCTTTTCCAGAATCTTTCTGGATCAAAAGCTGGATAAAGTTCGGCAATGTACCTTTAAAAATGTAGGGTTGAATTTACATCTCAAATTATTTGACTTTAAACAAGGATTCTTGGGAGGGAACTGGTCAAATCAAGAGGACAGGTGTTCTTGTACAGGGTATCATCGCTTAGATTTGTCTTTGACTGAATCAGCAGCATTTACACATATTTTCATATGATACAGATTCACATAGCCTCTGCGTTTCACTAAGATCGAGTAGAAGTAGTGTTAAACTGAAAGGAGAGAGGAACCATTGAATCAGAAAATAGCTCAGGCTATGAAAGAGTGAAAAGCAGTTGGGGAAACAACACAAAAATCCCTTCCTGTTGAAGTCTATTTACAATAGATGGAACAGAGACAAGCAGTGCATTCATACGACACCATCACGAGCAGATACGTACAGGTCAGTTCTCTTTCGCCCACTGCACAATTGACACATTATTCTCGAAGAAAAAGAAGTGAGGTTGAGGATGTGATGGTGCATGCATCCTGTCACCTAGCCTACATGGTGGAGAGTGCGTTTGTGAAGGTTCCCTGAAGCATTGTTTTACAGGAGGCTGATTCTCAGAGAGCGTCCAGTTCTTCAACGTGTGGACGGCATGCATTCAGTCTGCAGGTTTGTTGATGCTCGCTCAGAGGTTGCACCACATTAACAGGTGGGATAGGCGCGCAGTGGGTTATAAAATCTCTCTCTGCCTTGCCAAGTGCTGGGGTGAGTGCATCCTGCAGGCATGCAGTGTCCCACTTTAAGCCCGCGATGACAATCTGGGGATCCGACACCTGTTGTGAGCAGGTTTCCTGCTGCTACCCTCCTGAGATCAAAGATCAGTCTGTGTAGTGACTCAGTTTGAAACACTTTGTTCTACGGGGCGATGGTGGAAGAAGCAGCTTTATTAGTGTCTTACAATGTGACTTGCCAGAGATGGTTACCACTTCCTGTGATTGTGATATAAAGTGTAAAACATGGAGAAAACCATCTCCAACAAAAAGGCGATACATTAAAGTCGTGTGTGAGATTTAAAAAGCAGCTAGAATAATTTCTTTTTGGTCGGTCCTAAATGTATGAAAACTATTTTCACTGCACATGCCATTGCAGGACATCTATGAAGGATAGTTCTGTCTTTTCAATGGGACTTTTTATGATCTGATACAGCAGTTAAGTCACAATATGAACTGAAATGCTAACAAAGTGATTGTTAAATCTGCTTTTTAAAGATGACAAGTCAGTAAGATGTCTGGATCGTGTTTACGTCACACGTTCATGAGATTTGAACACAAAGTGAGTCAGACCAGTTTTCAGTCTGCCTCACCACCTCACAATGTGAACCTGATGATGGGATGCTAACAGGCCACATTTAATAGATATATGAGACTATGAGACTGATAGCTGCAGTGTGAAACTTGGCTCTGTTGGTAAAGCATAGAATTACCAAAGGCAGAAATCCCAGGATGCAATCCCAAGCGAGTGGATTCAGCACTACCATTTATCTCAGTCCTCAGAGAGCTTATCTCGTATTACGTGCTTGTTTCAGTATTATTTACAGAAGCATATACTTTACGCGGGGTGCTTCGATAGCCCCGCAAATCTTTTAGGCTCATGGCAAACACACGTCTTGAACCAAAGTGAGACTGAGCTCAGACTGGCATGGTTCCCCGCCATTAAAAATAATACAAGGACATACTCAGCTGGCCTGCCCTGGGCCGGTTACAGGAGCGCGTGTTCATGGATTGTCGGGACAGCAATAAGGAAAGGAAAGGAAAGGAAAGGAAAGGAAAGGAAAGGAAAGGAAAGGAAAGGAAAGGAAAGGAAGTGTGGACGTCTAAGGGCTCTGTGTGTTTGTTTTGATACTTCTTATTACTAAGCAAAAGCCACACTCCCGTTAAAAAAACGTTACATTTCTTTTTTTCTTACATGTTACAATCATGCAGCATATTTAGATTGAACAGGAGAAAAGGGAGTCAAGAATTAACGCAACATGAGCAGAGAGAGAAAGTAAAGTGGCGCTTTAAATCCCCCTTTGGCAGAGCACGATTTTTGTTCGACGAAAGGTGGCCGAAGGAAGGCCTCCGTTCATATCCCCCCCATTTCCCAATATGGTGTCTAAAGAACTCAGATTTGGTATGCAAGCCATTATTGAACATGAAGAACCAAAGAATCCTGGTTCCTAACTCCCGTACACACATTATTTTGGTGTCATTTAGGATGCAAAAACTAAACAAAAGCATACTATACAGACTACAAAGTGCATTATAAGTCACCCCGTCCAACCCCTGCCCGACGACACACCCACTGTGATGCATCTTGGAGCGAAACGAAAACCAAGACATGAGAGGGAAGGGGGCGGAGGGGCAGAGGAGTGCATTGTGGGAAGGCAGAGAAGGCTCCCTCCCACATACAAGCAAATGGAGTTTTTTTTAACTTATACAACTCTGCCCGACATGTTGAAGCCAGTGGTGCCTGGGGATGAAAAGGGGGAAGAGAGGGGAGGGGATGGACATAGATGGAGGAGGAGGGACATTTCGATGGGGGGCCCCCGGGGTTTAAGGTGCTTTTAGGGTGATGGGGGGCTAGCCGGCTAGCTTGCTGGTCACCAAGGAGGACTTCCTCGGCGGCAGGTCTTGCGGCGTGGGAATGTGGTCGCCGGTCACCAGGTTCTTGTCGGGTCCTGCCACGGGAAGCTTTTTCATATTTGCCTTGGCCATGTTGTAGTCGCCTGAGTCAAAGTACTTTTGCTGTGAGAGAAAAGAGATGAGAAGAAATGCTCACAGCGTTAGAAAACATGCTGCTTACATAGTTCAGGGAAGACAAGCCAGAAACCTGAAACCAATAGAACAGCTGTACAAGAGAGCGATCAAGGTGTTTGACAGAAAGCCATATTCATACCACCACAATTTCTTGAGTTTTGACCATTTTAAGTCTTTTAAAAGTATGTGTTTTTTTATAAATGTCCCTTAGGGGAATTCATCCACAGAAAACCCACTGGACGCTGCACCAGGTCAGAAACCAGAGGAGACTGTGAAGTCCACCGTAGACGGACCACTTTTGGACAAAATGTACTTTCAATTAAGGGCAGCTCTTTGTGGAATAGCCTCCCAACTGAGATACGGGATTGTCCCACTTTGAACAGTTTTAAAAGGTCAACTCAAAGAATGGTTGAGAAACAAACAAATGTGCAATCACCGCTAAATGCACTTTAATACAGGGGTATCTTCTCTTGCACTTTATAGAGAGGCGAAGTCCCTCCCTTTCCGGTGGACCTCCATGGGACCTTATTGGGACAACATTTTTTAAATGTGTCGTAAAACTGTGAAGTAAGACTTTTTTGTGTGTGAAACGCTCAATGAACTACATCTCCCGTCTCGCACCACACACCAAGACGGCCGTCACGTTGGCACATTTCACTTCGCCTCTCTATATGTCGTAGCTGCTACATTGTACTGCCATGTGGTTAATGCTTGTACAGTATATGCTGCTCATGCTCTTTCTGCATATCATGTATTTATTTTTGCTATATATATATAAATGTCATGTTCTTAAATGTTGTATGTGAGGGACTACGGATGGAAATTAGCTAAAAGCTAAAATCCAGCATTTTGAAGCATTAATTGTTAAAAATGTTCATCAATGTCCCTCTTCAAATAAACGATTATATAAATACAAATAAATAAGAAAATGTAAATTAAAAAGCATTATCAGTCCATGGAATTATTCCTCTTGTCCATACTGGCCCGGTGGAGACATTTCCTTATGTAATCCCAATATAAGATATGGAGGACATGATTTACAGGCTTAATTCTGTTCGAAGCTGTACTCCAAAGTTCAGCTGAAGCTTGTCTTTCCCTGCTCCTCTACAGTAGCTTTCCACTGAAGGCATATCAACACGAACTGCATGTTGATGTTCACTGGGAACTATTCGATTATGATTCAGAGATCCCCTCCACACACATGCAGACACAGTTCTGCTTGGGTCTTTGCTCCTAGTTGTTTTAGTCTTGTGAAATGCTAACTTTACCTGGCAGAGTTTGCAGTATACCTACATCTCTATTTTTATTTTCTACAGAACTTATTGAAGTGTAGTAGTCCTAACATTTTGCTTCTTCTTCCTCCATCTCATCTCACAGCGGTGTAGCAAATACAATATGATGAGGTGGACTGACCTTGGAGAGAAGTGATTTTCTTTTTAATAGATGACCCTTATCTAGCTATCTGAATACCTTTTTCACAGATCTGTTCAGAGGTCCAAATGCATGGCGGAAAGTAGGGCTGCTCGATTCTGGCAAAAATCATAATCACGATTATCTTTGGTCAATATTGATATCACGATTATTAAATACGATTATTCATTGACTTTGAAAACATCCATTTATTGAACTTTAAAATAATAATAATTTGAACAGTATGTTTTGAACAGTTGAATACTCTGAACTTTAACTATAATTCAACTGAAAAACCAATACAAAAATAAATTATACATTTATATCTACATTTAAATAAATAATATCAAAATAATAAATACCAATAAAGAAGATAAACAAATATTTTGGAGCGCACTTCCACAACCTACTAAACATATATAAATATGATAACTAATGTCACTCACAACCTGTAATGTTTAATTATACTGCTACCCGCAGTGCTCTTATTTTGGTAACCCCTGTCACTACCCGATCTGTCCCCCTGCCCGATCTGTAGTGCGCATGTGCGAGATGGTCCGCCATATTGGACAACTACATACGGCAACTCTAATAGGACATTTGACACAGTGGCTTTTGGCAAAGCAGAAAAAGAACCGAGAGAGATTATTGTTATTACAACGTGACTTCACTATTATTTAACAACTGTTTTTATTGGGTTCTTTTATTTGGGGTTAAGTACATTGTCAGAATAAGTGAGAAATTGATTTAACTTCTGTTAGACAGCTATCATACTGAATGTATGCAAAAATGTATGTCATATAGCTGTCTAACAGAAGTTAAATCCATGTCTCACTTATTCTGACAATGTACTTAACCCCAAATAAAAGAACCCAATAAAAAGAGTTGTTAAATAATAGTGAAGTCACGTTGTAATAACAATAACTCATCTCTATCAGTTCTTTTTCTGCTTTGCCAAAAGCCACTGTGTCAAGTGTCCTATTAGAGTTGCCGTATGTAGTTGTCCAATATGGCAGACCATCTTGCACATGCGCAGTACAGATCGGGCAGGGGGACAGATCGGGTAGTGACAACCCCTTATCCGGAAACCGGAAGTAGCTAAGAGGCTCCGGCTTAACGAGGTTAGTAACAGCTGACTGTTCGCTAGAGACCGGAGAATAAAGACACGGCAACTAAAGCTTCCCTTGTAACGTGGATTTATTAAACAGACTGCAAGTCACAACACAATCTGGCCGAGAGGGCTTTTAGGGCGGGGGGGCAGGGTGTATAACGCAAGACAAATTGAGAGCATCATTGCGAAAGGGAATAGAGAGGCGAAGTCCCGCCCATCTACTTCCGACCCATGGGACCTTATTTCGGAAAAAATATGTATTGAAGTCAATGGAGAGAGAAAGATTATCTTTCGATCCCGTTTGAATTGTGCCACGAATTACACATATGATGTTTGTCAATCTTAAAAAATAATTTCCATGTTAAAAAAGTCACAGTTTGTCGTAAAACTGTTGAAATATAAGACTATGAAAAATACGCAACTAGAAAGACTACAAATCCCAGAGTCCCAGTCCCGCATGCTGGCTCTTACGAACCGACTAACTCCCCTTGTGTGTATGTACAGCTCTCAACATGCCCAGACTTGGAGTGATTTTCACCTCTTTTAATACTTTCCGCCTCATTCTGAAAGAAAGAAGTGAAATGTGCCAACGTGACGGCCGTCTTGGTGTGTGGTGCGAGACGGGAGATGTAGTTCATTGAGCGTTTCACACAAATAAAAGTGTTACTTCACAGTTTTACGACACATTTTTATTTTTTTTACTTGTAAAATTATCTTTTAAAATTGACAAACATCATGTGTGTAATTCGTGGCACAATTCAAACGGGATCGAAAGATAATCTTTCTCTCTCCATTGACTTCAATACATACTTTTTCCTAAATAAGGTCCCATGGAGGTCCCCGGAAAGGGAGGGACTTCGCCTCTATGCAGCAAAATAATCGTTTTTTTTCTGATTACATTGTGTTCATAATCGTTGCAAGCCAAAATCGTACATCCTACAAATACAAATGAACAACTCAAGATGTGTTCAACGTTTAAGGGTTTTTGGTACAAATTTCCCTGGAATGTATTTTTCACTTTTCATTTTACACTACAGTAGGAAGGTGGATTCCTCCAGCTCTTACGTTGAATTCACATAAAGAAATACGATTTTCAAAGCCAGTGTGGACAGGGGGAATTATTGCACAAAGAATATTGTATAAAGACAGATTTTTCAACCTCCTCTGTTAAAATCAAGAGTATGGTGTTGTGCTGAATCAACCCTTTCACCCCCCCCCCCCTCTTACAGTTTGATATCATCAATCTCTGATGATGGTCAATCTGGGAGTTATCTTTTGATTAAGAACTGCAATTTACTTTTTGGCTTTCACTTCAGCCTGCCTCAGCTACTCCTACTGTAGTCGGTGATTTCCCAGAATGACTTTCAACAATCTCCCGAGGTGGAAGTTCTCTGTAACATATATACAGTACGTGTAGGTGGAGAGAGCAACACTTTTTCCAGGCGAGGAAAAGTAGGAGAGGAGAGAGAACAATGCTCTTTTATGCTGTTTAACTTATCAACAAAAATAATACATTAAAGGCTGTTGAATTTTAAACAATGATGCCGCATTGCATTCTGGTTTAAAGGAGAGGATATTTTTCTATCTGCTTCAATAGATGCTGAATGGAGCTGTAGATGTTAGTCCTTGACTTTGGTCGAGTTTTAGATTACATTTTGTACCAAAAAACTCCCTTGATGCCAAGCTAGAAACAGCTTAATATGATCAAGATAAAACAAAATGGATTCAACACATCTTGCTTTTCCAACAGTGCATTAAGGTGAGGTTTCAGGGACAGTGATGCATGGAGCTTGACTGATCATGCAAGACACATCTGCAGGACTTCATAGTTTTAGTATTTACACCTAATGCAGCATTATTTGTATGAGCAGGAAGGGATTCAGGGGTTTGCTAACTTAAACATGCCTTCAGTTTTGACAGGTTAGAATATGATAAACACACATACACACAGACATAGAGAATTAAGTATCTGATATGATGTTTCAATTGTGAATAGGGCTAAAACTCATCATATGTTACATTATACATATAACAGGGTTCTTACACCTTTTCCAAAGTCAAATTCAAGCACTTTTCAAGCATTTTCAAGGTGCATTTTCAAGCTTTTCAAGCATCTTACAGTTGTTGTAAATTACATATTTATATACACATACTTATACTCAAATGATTATTTCCCTACCTCACATTAAATCAGATGTTCTTTATGCTATAAACAACCAAATGTGTGTTTCATAATAGCATTCTACATGAGGATGAAAAATTAAAAATGTTAGAAAAGAAAACTAAGTTTAATATTTCAAAATGTGTCACCTATCTGTACGTAGACTGGGCATCCCATATAACCTGGCTGAGCCAATATAAAACAATCAGCCAAATAACTTTTCAATATATTATTGATTACTATTTTTGAGGTACTTTTAGGTTGGCAGTAAACACAAGTCAGAGGTAAATGGTGTACTTTGACTCCACTACATGTATTTAATACCTTTAGTAACTTTACAGATGTGGATGAATGATGTGAAATATAATCAAGTGTTAAATCAGACTTTAGTTCCACCTGGAGTAAATTCACAAGCTACTCTGCAGTATACAAAGTCATTCAAACTAGCTGCAACTTTACCAGCTTTGAGAACACTTTCATGATCAATCATTATAAAACATATCATATACAATTATTAGGGATGCTCCGATCGCCCATTTTGGAGCCGATCGCCGGAATCAGTATCGGCCGATACCGCTCTCTTTCTCCTGACAGCCCGTCAGTATCTCCTGCAGCTCACTGATCCAGTAATAAGCGACCCGACAGTGAAGAATAAATATATTTATAACTAGTTTAGCTTGTTCCAGAGGTAGATAAAATAGCTAAGTGTGTTAGGTCTAACTCTTAATGTGTGTTCTGCTCCGCTCACCGGTCCGTCACAGCGGGTGGAGCTGCAGGATTTCTGCTTCACACACGTTGCATACCGCTATTTTATTGTCATTTTCGGACACTTAAAATACTGCCAGACTAGTGAAGCCATTTTGGCGAGCTTGTTTTGCCGCGCACAGAGAAAAGTGTCATGTATTTTACATGCAACGTTAGCCTAATCTAAAATGCTCTACGGCGTACCTTTCGTGTGGTGTGTGGCTCGTCAGCGCAGACTCTCGCATCGTTATTGTTGCACACTTTGCAGGAGGCTACTCTTGGGCTTCGCTTGACCCTCGTCTTAGCCATGGCTTGTATTTGTCTTCTGCTAGCCAACGCTCGTTGAAACGGCAACCTCCTGGCATACTGTCATCTATCACTCTCATCAGAATGCCCAGGTCACACACGTAACAAAAACACTTGCCGGTCACGCACATTGCGCGGGAAGGCCGGAGCGGAGCTGTTTTATGTAAAAGCGAAGCAATTAAGCGCGCTCCGACTTCTTTATTTTCTTTTAATCTAAAAAGCGAAGTAAAGCATTTACAATTTCAAGCACTTTATCCCAAATTCAAGCACCATTCCCAAAATTCAAGCACTTTTCAAACCTTGAAAACACCTCGTACAATTTCAAGCATTTTCAAGCATTTCCAGCACCCGTACGCACCCTGATATAAGGATACAACCGAACATCGGCCGATACTCACTCTCTATCGATTGATCGGTGCTCTCTAAAAATGCCGATCGCCAGAGCCGATCGCATGACGTAAAATGAGGACGTAAAATACATGACACTTTTTTTTCTCTGCAGCTCCACCCACTGTGACGGACCGGTGAGCGGAGCAAAACACACACTAAGAGTTAGACCTAACACACGTAGCTATTTTATCTACCTCTGGAACAAGCTAAACTAGTTATACATATGTTTATTCTTCACTGTCGGGTCGCTCATTACTGGATCAGTGAGCTGGCATGAGATAGTGACAGGCTGTCAGGGAGAGAGAGAGAGAGAGAGAGAGAGAGAGGGGGAGAGAGAGAGAGAGAGAGGGGGAGGATAGAGAGAGTTGGCTAGATATATATTGGATACTATAGAGAGCTATTATCTTATACAGATAGACAACCATTACATAATCGTCACTCTATATATTATGTTAACTCTCTGTTGAGCTTATTGACATAGAGCGCTTCCACTCATTTCTCCAGTGGTAATTCTCCAAGTTAATGTAAAACTTGAATAATGTACTTCATTTGAATGTAATAATTATGTTGGCTGTTGTTTGTGGAAGCGCCAGTGAATGAGCCCCATTGACTGAGTTTTAAACATCACTTTAAATGGAAGATCCCCATAGGCCCCGCCCACTTGATCGGATCGGCCGATACTGATTCCGGCGATGGCCCCCAAAATTGGCGATCGGAGCATCCCTATCGATTGCTTTTGTCTCCATCCACATATCTGGGGACTCACGGTATTTTCCTAACTTGAGTAAAAGTTCTCGCTGAGGAAACACCCTTTACACTGCTGTGATGATTTCTTCCCCTTTTATCAGGGGCATGACAGTGTGGATCAAATCTAAGACACAATCTTGTCTTCACACTTCTAATGTAAATAACAAACCACAGTATATCCAGCTTTATTCATATGCCTGTATTGTTTTGTGTTCATTGTTCATGTTGCCCTCTTTTAATGTCAATGAGACTTTGACCTGGTTAAATAAAGGATATATATGGTCACCTACCCCTTTCTGTAGTCTCTTCATCAGGAAGTCTGAGCCCCCGGGCTTCTGGCCCATGCCGGGGTACTTGGCCTTCAGCTTGGCCTCCTCTGCCTTCACCGGGTTTGCATTCTTCTCTTGGGAGTCCTGTGGAGACAAAAACAAACGCACATAAGAACTCGTCTTTTGCAGAAAACAAGGCCAGTCGATACTTCTTCAGAAATATGTCAGCACAACTGCAAAAGCTGGTTAAGTGACAGGTTCTTATTATGGTATTTACCCTGCAATTCCAAAAATGCTGCTACTACGCAAACACCTACATCCAAGCAGTGATAAACATTCTTCAAAAATACTACAGCTGTTCTTAATAACCTCTGCTGTGAAGTGGGACAGAGCGATGACAACGGCTAGCTGGAACTGAAGATACTTCACAACAGCACGTGCCATAAGAAAAATGTACTTTTGTTAGTCTCTCAAATTACCATTATGCCTGACAGGCAATAACTCATGAAGAGGACACGGCTTGGTACAAACACAGACCTGAAATGAGGTCAAAATGATTTTATAAGCTTACACACCAATAACTAACAAATGCTCTCTTTGGGAATCCTGTTGACAAGGACTATGTCCACAAAAGCATCATGTAAGGATCTGTTAAAGGTAAAACTAGTCGATGAAGAAAGAACTCTGACCCCAAGACGTCTATCCACTGTTCAACAAATTCTACTTCAGTTAACCTTTGTAGTAGAGCAATACAGTATTGCTCATTAGATTAGATTAGAACTACTGCTGAAGCACAAGTTCCTAAATTGTGTTATTTTCACTTAATGTGGACATAAACTGTGTTTTCTGCTTCCTAAGGTCACGCTTTGGCCCCTTATAACGTTTACAGCAAATATCATGGATCCCTTGCTCGTTTTATTTTTTGGGTGAATTCATTGGTAATATAACTAGTGTGTTATTTAGAAAACATATTGTAATTAAAGGTAGGGTAGGTAAGAATGGAGAAACCAGCTCGAGTGCGCTAGAATTTGAAAGTACACAACACAAAAAAATCTGCCCCTTCCTTCAGACTTCCTTACAGAGCCCCTCCTCCAACACACACGAACGCTCACATGACCAATGAGGGCACGAGATAAGTTTGTGCACAGATGGAAGGCTGACAGGCAGGTAGGCCATCCAGTTATTTTAGCCGGGCCGGCTCAGATGATTGGTCGTGCTTTTTACAGTATTACGGCTTCCACAGATGACATTTTTTTATGTATTTATTGTCAAAGCATTTAATGTATTCATTGCTATCGGGATGTGAAGAGCATTCCATGGAATATAACAACAAGTGTTTCTGAAGTGAATTACCTACCCCACCTTTAAGGTCAAGAAACAATAACTTGACAATGTTTATCAGCTCTTACGAAACCAGTATAGAGTTACCGAATCCTTAGGGCGCAGTTCAGAAGACAACGATAGTATTTGCGCAATCCACTGACAAGCAGTAGCCAAACAGGTCAGACACCAGTCTTTCATGTCCCTGTCAACTACATTTTGAGGACAGTCATTTTGTCCACATTGAACCACAGCGTAAATTAAGTGGTTTTATTGCATGCTGAAATGATATGAGGAAATATCAGGAGTAAAGTGCATAGGATTACAGAAGATTCAAGGTTCAAGGCTTTTATTGTCATTCGTACATAGCTACAGTGTAGTTATGACGATGACAATCTTAGGTCACAGGCTCCTCCAACAGTGCAACACAATAAAACAGATAATAATAATAATAATAATAATGCACTGTTGGAGGAGCCTGTGACCTAAGATTTTCATCGTCATAACTACACTGTAGCTATGTACGTATGACCAATAAAAGCCTTGAACCTTGAATAGTGCAAGTAAATTCAATAAATTAGAATAGAAATAGTGCAGAATAGTCTATATACAAGTAATTGGAATATTGATATATATAAGTTGCAAACAGATGAATGTTATGGATGTTCTTTCAAAGGTTCAGGTGTTTAACATGATAAACTCCAGAGGACATGTATGCACTGTCTGCACATACAGTCCTATGCCCAGGACATAGACCTACTTCCACGAAACAGACATGATAGGGCACTCTGCAAAGCTTGCTTGGGCAGAGATCAAATGTGACTCAGGACACAGAAGCCAACGAACACATTCCCTCAGGAGGAGGGGGGACGGACGTGTGGCAACGACGGTGCAGATTCACTTGGGGCCATGACGAGAAATGTATGAGCTACTATATTCGGCCCCATTGCAGAGAACCTGCAGAATCCAACAACACATTCTGAAACCGTGCAGGAGAGTTAATCCGTCATGTGCAGAACTGTAAAACAACCCTCAGTGGCAAAGTGTGAAATATCATTTATTTCACACTTTGCTAATATATATTGCATCTGCTTGTTCCAGTTTAGAAGTTAACAGCATACTTTTTCTAAACCAATTTGCATGCACTGCTCCTAACACTAGGATGGGTCAAATGCAGAGAAACCATTTTGTTACATAGTACCTGTACTGTGTAATGACAATAACCATTTTTTTAAATTATACATTTGGTATCCTTATTAACTTTGTGTTGATGAAAATGTAAAATAATGTTAGCTAAATGAGTGTTATGATTTTGGGTCTGGCCCTAATGTTTCTCTTATTTTGCACATATTTATTGTGTTATTATAGTTTGACAGAAACCAAGTTAGTAATGTTGTTTGTTAAAATAGCATTGCTAATTACCATGTCTCAATATCTGTACACACAATGAAGCTTACAAATAAAATCCACCAGGTTTATCAACATTAAGAGCTGAATTAAAAGCTTCTAACGTACTGTGCAGCCAATCAGACACATGTAATGGCTTGGCATTTTATCTATAGATATCAACTATTACATAACAAAGACAAAAAGTCATCAATTATTGAAAACAACAATTAAATCAGACCCTTCCCTAACTTCTGACATTCATGTCATGTTTATTTGTGTGTGGATAGATATATATATATATATATATATATATATTATAATTCGTATAATTCCACACATCAACAAATTTAAGCAGGACAGACAAACTGCAGGCCTTGTAAACGGAGAATAACAAATCACACTGAATGCATATAACCCATAGTGATGTCATTATGTTTGAAAAAGCATTGTTGCAGGGGATGAACCACATGTACATCACTGACGTTGTTGTGCCACTGACAGGAAATGCGGAAGCACTGTCACACTGCAGTTGTTGTCACTGTCAGGAAAACACAATCAGGAACATCGAGCCATGTGCAAGTCAGGGAAAAAACCCACTGTTTTATAATGCCAAGTGTCCCAAGTGAAACTGCCCATTTCTGTGTTTACTCGGAGACTACAGGCCCTCCATGGCACGTTTTGAGACCCTCCAAGACAGACCAATGAGGCCCGAGCTGCTGTGGAGTCGCCAGCCAATGACACAAGGCAAGGGACAAAACAAAGTGACACACTGGCAAGATGCTTTGGGACAGCCACGACAAAACCACGTTTAACACAGCTAACAGCTTATCATATCTCTACATGTCTCACAGGAGTCTTCCTCTGCCTTTCTGTAGCGCTGAGAATACACACTTCACTTGTGCTAGCTGGTGTTAGCCACTTCTAGCTAGCTGTGGTTAGCCAACAACATCAAGACAGCAGTCATGAAAACCCACCTGTTTTTCGTCCTCGTTGTCCACCTGAGTGTCCGAGTCGAGGTTTTCTGACGACATTGTGTGAGTGTGATGGACAAATAAGTGTCCCGTTTGACAGACAACTCGAAGAGATGAATATACAATGTACGGTTTGATGTACCTGTACTGAATCTAATCCTCCTTTTCTGGACACGACTAGTGCTGCTGCTCCCCAAAAAAAATGGCGTAACGAGATGTGACATCACCAATGAGGGGGTTGTTCCCATTTGTGATTGACATATACAGTAACCAATAGGTGAGCAGTGTTGGGGCAAGTAGAGCCAATGAGAGGCCATGATTGGTTCTGTTCTCTGTGATTGATAGCCCGTCGACCAATGATTTTACAGAATGGCGACTGGGAGGCGACGCGGGGGCTGCACTGCATCAACACAGAGCACCTTAACTGCACATAAGATACATTATCCATGTAAAATGTTGGTTTTGAATCTGAATTACTCCGTGTTATATTAATAAATGAATACAGAAAAAAAAAAGAGGATCAGCGTCCATGTTTTTTGCACTAAACTTCGGACTAGATCCCTGCACTGTGATTGGCTACTGCTTGACCGTTGGTGCCTGTCAATCAAACTAATCGCGGGAACGGTTCGATTAACACAAAGCTAGCTTGCTTACCAAACTTAAAAAAATACAAATTATACGGATTGTATTATATTGTTTGTTTTTTGTTAAAATATTCCTTCATTGTTGCCATCTAAGTACCAGCTAGGTGAGTAACAGCGCCATCAAATTGTGTCAGAGACTGTTTTAGCTTGTGGCTGCCTAGCTAAATGTAAATAAGCTAATGAGCTAACATTAGCAACATTTCTCTCTGTTTTTTCAGCTTTTATTTTGTTTTCCTCTCACCACTGCAATGGCTTGTGTCCAACAAGTTAGAACTTCACAGGTAAAATCCCTCTTAACTTCTAGCAAAACATTAAAGTTGATGAATATTTAATAAGTAAGCTAGTTTAAGAGAATTGTATAGCTGTAATCTATGCTGTGTTACATTTTGTCCATAACAATAGCAATAGTTATTTTAGATAAAGTACAATTACTCATCCACTAGAAACAAGTTTAATGTACTTTTTAGCATGATCATTGTATGCTACTTTATACATCTACTGTGCAACATACATTTAATTGCTCAAAACAAGTGTATCTGCAGATTTAAAATGTATATAAATGACCAAATCTATGATCATCATGTATTCATAAGCTACAGAGGTAATTATATTCTGGTTGCATCTTCTCACCCAATGATTTATGTTACATTACTTACTGTATTACCACCACTCATTTAATAAATTCCCAGTACAATCTCCCAACTCCACATTTTATAAAATGATCCACAGCATTATTAAGGTCTATTGTAAGAACACTACTCTTATTTTTGCTCTGCTAGACTTGAGGGGGGAAATAATACATTGCATATTTTAAAAATTGTATTTGATATGTTATGTTGTAGGCTCACTTGTTCTAATGCAACTGTTGGCTGACTTCGAGTGTCTCTGTTAGCTGTGATGAGTAAGCAGTAAATGTACCTTTTAGCGTGATTTCTTAAAACAGGTGTATCTGCAGATTTAGAGTTTCTATAAATTATAAAATATATGATCATCATGTATTCATAAGCTACAAACTTAACTGTATGACCACCACTCATTTAGTAAATTCCTCATAAAATCAAGATTTTATAAAATGATCCACGGCATTATTTAGGTCTAAGAACATGTAACATATAATTAACCATGTTCACTACTATTCATTTTGCTTGTATTTAAAAAATGAGAGAGATGGTGGAATAATTGATATTATATGTTATGTTGTAGACTCACTTGTTCTAATGCAATTGTTGCATGGTCCGGCAGTGGCTCAGTCAGTAGGGACTTGGACTGTGAGCCGTAGGGTCGCCGGTTCAAGTCCCCAACCAGACCTAAATATGGAGTGTGGACTGCTACTTGGAGAGGTCCCAGTTCACCTCCTGCCCTGCTGTGGTGCCCTTGAGCAAGGCACCGGACACCCCCCCACTCCCATTGCTCCCATTGCTCCCCGGGCGCTGTACAATAGCTGCCCACTGCTCCTCGTACTAGACTCCTGGTACTAGGATGGGTTAAATGCAGAGGCCAAATTTCACTGTGGGTGTTTCTCAATCGCGAGTACGCTTGCTTGGTAGCACATGTCTGCCGAGCATCTTGCTTCAGAAGCGAGTCAAGAATACTTCCTGGCATTCGGAAAACGAAGAGTGGAACACGCTAGCAAGTGTGATTTGGGGAAATTGGTCCGTGCGCAAAGCATTGTGGGGATTTTAAGACCGCAGAGTCTACTCATGTGCAGCCTCGATATTTCTCCAAACGGATTACGCCGGGCTCGGTAGATTTCCAAGTATGCTGGAGATTGGAACAGTACTTCGGCGGCACTCGATGACGTAGTATGCTTGAAATAGTGGCTCTGAAGCAGCTTTACTCGCGATTGAGAAACACCCCCCGTGTGTGCTGTGTGCTCTGCATGTGTGACCAATGACCATGGGTTTCCTCCCTCCGATTCTATTCTATTCTATGTTGGCTGACTTAGAGTGTCTCTGCTAGCTGTGATGAGTAAGCAGTAAGCAGTATGCGATTAATTTCTTTCCCTCGTGCAGGATACTCAGCTGTTACCTAATCAGGTTCTCTCAGAGCAGCAGTCCGTGGTTGTTATGAAGAGACTTCTCGCCATCGCAGTGTCTGGCATCACATACCTGCGAGGCATTTTCCCAGAGAAGGCCTACGGCAGCAGATATGTCGAAGGTTAGATTACACATGGATTTGTCGGCACATCATTCAAAGATTCAAAGGTTTTATTGTCATATGCACAGAGCTATAGATTGCAAGATGACAACAGGAATGTTTATCGGGGCACTTAACAGAGCTCAGGTGATTAGCAGTGGCTATCAAGGTCTATTTACACATTTGAAGTATCCCTCTTTTTTTTATTCCCACAGATCAGAAAGTGATGATCCTAAAAGAGGAACGCAGCTGTCCTGGTGCCAATCAGATTGTTAAATGGTCAATAACAACTTGATATCCACAGTCATAGTTAAAACAATGAAAGTTGGAGGATATGTTTCACAGCTAATTAGACGTGTGCTTTCACTGCTTTGTTTACATTCTCACAGGATGCAGGGATGTTTTGAGGCCATCCAGAAGAAGTATGTAAGTCAAACTCAACCTTTTCCATCATGTCTGACTGAGTCACTATGAATTAGACATCAAAAATGAACATAACCAGCAGCGTAAGTCAGAGTTTCCGTTAGAATATTTTTTTGCCGGTCAACATGTCCGTTAAAGTTGAAATCTTCCGGACAAAATGAGAAAAGTGCCGGTCAAAGGTCTTCTTTGTTATTTATTGAGCTTTAAAACAAATTGATATAATTCAATATTAAACAAACAAATTATAGTAGATTAACTACATTATTCAAAAGTGTACAGTAACTTATAATAACACGGGAATAATAAACGGAGCGCTCTCTCTCCCTCTCCTGACAGCCCGCCAGTATCATGCAGCTCGCGGATCCAGAGTGACCCGACAGTAAAACTAAACATATCTATAACTACTTTAGGTAGTTTGAGAGGTAATTAAAATAGCTACGTGTGATATTCTAACCTGAAGTGTGTGTGTGTGTGTTGCTCCGCTCACCGCTGCAGGTGATCATGCAGAGCTGCGTGTCGACTCGTCAGCAGCAGCTGATCTCTCTCTCCCGTCAGATTAGACTTCACTCACGTTTATATCCATATCGATCAGATCGAGCTAGTTCTAGCTAATGATATGACTACCTGCTTATCAAAGGACACCTAAACAATAAGCATCGCTATGCAACCGGGTGAGGCCACAAAGTATAGCGCAGCATTATGCATTTGTTTACATGCCCACCGGAACCCCGAGGCATTACCAACAGATCAACGCACAATCAACCCATACAGGACATCTCTTTCTCCACATTAAGTGTTAGACATTAGAATTGACTCTTCTTGTCTGTCACATACTCTTTTGTCTGTCACATACTCTTTCGTCTGTCACATAAGTGGCGCAACTGATGCAGTATTGTGCTAAGGGGAAATTATTTTGACCGGACATTTTGCCCAGAGAGATTTGGATTTGGACTTCAGCATATTTTACCGGTCATAGTCCGGTAATTACCAGCTAATGGAAACTCTGGCGTAAGTGCTTATTCACATGTTTCCCCTGTGTCTCATTATAACTAACATGGTCAAATGTGTTGTTTTCCCACCAGCTGCGTTCAGTCATCATGTCTGTGAGTATTATGTAAATGGGTTTTTAGCAACGAACAGATTCCCAGGCAAATACTGGGAATAGTAACTTTATATACTTTTTCAGCTGATGTTTTGGAACATTTCATCTTTTCTATAAGTCCTGAAAGGCTCACGGTTCTACTGTTTTTCTATATTGCCCTTTTTCAGATCTACTCTGACCCAGAGAACCCACAGGTAACCCGCAGGTTTTCTTCGTGCCATTGTTGATGTTTAACAAAGCTAAACCACTGTACAGATTACAAGCTGCTTTTATGATCATTGTGTATCTCATACTGTACACCTATCATCTCTTGTCTTTAAGAAAGTGACAGAGTATTACCAGTTTAGGATCCAGTACACTACAAAAGGAGCGCAGATGGACTTTGAGAGGTGGGATGTTTTTTATCTTTACAATTATGAGATGTTCAGAAGACAGTGGATACACCTAATATCAATGCAGGAAACTAATAAAGGTGTAAACCATCTATTACTTTGGGTGGATGGATGGATGGATGGATGGATGGATGGTTGGATGGATGGATGGATGGATGGATGGATGGATGGATGGATGGATGGATGGATGGATGGATGGATGATGGATGGATGGATGGATGGTAGGTAGGTAGGTAGGTAGGTAGGTAGGTAGGTAGGTAGGTAGGTAGGTAGGTAGGTAGGTAGGTAGGTAGGTAGGTAGGTAGGTAGGTAGGTAGGTAGGTAGGTAGGTAGGTAGGTAGGTAGGTAGGTAGGTAGGTAGGTAGGTAGGTAGGTAGGTAGGTAGGTAGGTAGGTAGGGTAGGTAGGTAGGTAGGTAGGTAGGTAGGTAGGTAGGTAGGTAGGTAGGTAGGTAGGTAGGTAGGTAGGTAGGTAGGTAGGTAGGTAGGTAGGTAGGTAGGTAGGTAGGTAAATTATTTAGTCACAGAAACATAAGTGTGTTCAGACATTAAAATACAATACTTAAAATAGTGGTCCGTCCGTTTCTTCGTCAGCAACAACGACAACAAGGTGTCGTCCATGTCGTGCGGGAACACCAAGAAGGCGAGTATCCTGCTGGTGAGGAAGCTCTACACTCTGATGCAGAACCTCGGCCCTCTGCCTGACAACGTGTGTCTCAACATGAAGCTGTCCTACTACAACAACGGTAACACACACACACACACACACACACACAGAGACAGACAGATACACACACACACACGCACACACACACACACACAGAGACAGACAGATACACACACACACACGCACACACACACACACACCCAGCATAAGTAAACGTCAATTATATACGATTTACACATTTGATTTTTCCAATGAGCATGCACTACTTGCTACTACCTTTGACCCCTAACCCATCACAGTCCTCCTACTGCTATTTATTTCATTTGTACTTTATTATTTGCCCCTTTTGTTTGTTTGTTTGTTCACCCTGTGAAAAGGCTCTATACAAATTGAATCTATTATTCATTATTATTATTATTACTGCTTGAACTCTCCGACATGTGCAGCAGCGTCAAGACCTAAAATCGTATATATTATTGTCAAATGTAATACATTTAGCTGATGCCGTTATCAGACTATATTGTGCAACTTCAGTTTCTTCCTGAGTAGCATTCCCTGGGGAAGTTAGGAAACCAGATTCAAAAGAGACAAATAAGTTACACAATGCAGAAGACGTAAGTCCAGATCATTACATGTTTAAATCAATGTGCCAATCAATAGTGATCAACTATCCTGGAAAATATACATTCAAAGATACATCAAAAACATTTTTCTTTGATATCACAAGGCTGTCCTTCATTAAGGTGTAAATTAGGGCTGTGCAATTAATGATTATGATTTTTGCCATAATTGCACAACCCTAGTGTATATTCTCCCCAAAACGTGTCCATGCCTTGCATCGTTTTTCAAACATTTCAAGATTTTACAAGCCTTTTTTAAATATTATTTATTATTTTCAGTAACTTTGCTGAGATAAACAAGGCTGATCTTAAATAGTTTACAGTCCTTATTTACAGGATTTACAATTTGAGACTGTTAGACAAGCATCCTGCATGTACAGTATTAAAAGGGTCATGACAATGTTTTCTCTCAGTGATTGTGATGTTATGTTAAATGTTTGTGTTTCATGTATTGTGTCTGGATATGTGTCTGTTGGTGTTGGACATGGAGCTGCTGTGATGCAAGTCAAATTTCAGACTTGATCTGACCAATAAAGTATTATCGTATCGTATCTTTATCGTATTATATTACGGTCATGTGCTTTTAACAGATAATGTTAAAGCATTAAAGTGAGGAGTTTACATTCAGTTGGCTGGACCAAAAGGATATACATGTTTGCCTCTTTTAAATTCTTTGTTTTGTAAAATGAAACACCACGTTGTTCAGAGTGTGTGAAGAAGATTTAGTAGATTAAGAAACTGTGTAGAAAGTTGGGATTTTTCCGCCATCAGAATTTCTTCATGGCCAGAAATGCTGTTTTTTCCTAGTTCAGGTTTTGTTTCTCTTTTGTATGTCAATAAAGTACCTATCTATCTATCTATCTATCTATCTATCTATCTATCTATCTATCTATCTATCTATCTATCTATCTATCTATCTATCTATCTATCTATCTATCTATCTATCTATCTATCCATCCATCTATCTATTTATCTATCCATCTATATATCCATCTATCTATCTATCTATCATCCATCTATCCATCTATCTATCTATCTGTCCGTCTGTCCGTCTACCTACCTACCTACCGACCTACCTATCTATCTATCTATCCATCCACCCACCCACCTACCCATCTATCTATCTATCTATCTATCTATCTATCTATCTATCTATCTATCTATCTATCTATCTATCTATCTATCTATCTATCTATCTATCTATCTATCTATCTATCTATCTATCTATCTATCTATCTATCTATCTATCTATCTATGTTGTTCTAATGCAACTGATTTCAAGTGTCTTGCATTTCTTCCTAGTGGAGGTTTTGTCTCTCACAGTGTGTTTCTCTGTCTGTTTGTCTCGAACAGTCACTCCTCAGGACTACCAGCCGCCAGGCTTCAAGGATGCTGACGGCGACACCATGGAGTTTGAGAAGGAGCCGGTACAACTCACCATGGGGGAGGTGCTCACTCCCTACCACACTCTGAAGCTGGACATGGCCACGGAGAGGCAGAGACTGGAGCAGGTATTATCTTTTAAGGGATGAGCTGCCAACAAGATAAATGAAACCCTCTGGAGAGCTGTGACGTAGGCTGTTGTTTTTCCTACAGCATATTAAGCCTATTTTACCTACATTTTGCTAACTTATAACTTAAAGAGCAACTTGCAGGTTAGAACCCCCAGTGAATAAATGTGTAGGAAAATTATGTATACACTAGATTTTCAAAAAAATATACATAAATACACACTACAGCAGTGGTACTGTACCGACGTACTTGTGAATCTTTTCCAGAAGGCGGTTAGATCACCGGACGACAGAGTCGGTCTCCGTGTGCACAGACAGGGCTGCTGTTAACGTCGGTCTGTACAACGGAATTGTGCCAAAACTACGCCAACGCTCTAGCCCCCCCCCCCCCCCGTCGACTTTCCTGAAGTACTCCACTAGCACCCCCCCCCCGTTGACGTTCGCGATACAGAGGGCAAATAACTTTGAGTGGAGCCAGAAGTTGGAGTACCAAACACTGACTCCAGGTACTCATCTGAGTACCTCACTGAGAAAGTAGTTATGTGCACCCCTGAATATAGTAACGTTACTGGCAGGACTGTTGATACTGATCCATAACAGAAACTAATGCGCAAGTATCAGCCGTATCTCGCGTTACCTAATGCAACTCCACTCTACGTCTTACGGTGCTGTGTACCGGAGGGGAGAGAGAGAGCAGCGAAGGGGGGAGAGAGATGTAATACGGTTTCCTGATAAATGTTTGATAGGCCTCAGCTGTGGAGAGTATGTGCTGCAGAGAGGTGGATGCACCTCGCACAACGCACCCAGGAACGAAAGCTAGCTCCGGTCCTTTTCCTGTTAGGGAAACTGTGGACTCGATGTCCTGACAGGCTGGAGTTTGTGCAACCTGCACAAACACAATAGCTCACCATGATTAAAAATGGTGAAATGCAATGTAAAATCACCGAAAAAATACCAGCTCACTAAATCACAACCGCTCAAACCAACTACCAACTACTACCGCGGATTGGGCAGAGAAGGAGTCCGAGAAGGTTGTAATATGACGCGTTTTTCCTGCCCTTATGTCTCGCAAAACATATAATATCAAATCCTGCGTTAACTTTTTTTATTGTAATTTTCAGGCAAGGTTAAGCATAAATGTAGTAAAACTTCACCTCTATAAGTGGCTCAGCCCTTCCTATATTTTTCTGTATGTGGCCCTCGGTGAAAAAGTGTGGACACCCCTGCTCTATACCAGAGTCCTGCACGGGTCTGATTTTCAAGACCCGCTCCCGCCCCACACCCGCGACGTGCAATACCGAACCCGCCCCGCTACCCGCACATATTGCCAATTAGTTCCGCAACCCGACCCGTCGGCACAAGATCCGCAACCCGACCCGAACCCGCATATATATGAGCAGTGAAAACGTGCAATTATTAACACACGCAGTTGCATATTTGTCTCAAAAAGCGTGGGATGTTGGTTATTTTCTCCATCTAGGACCCGCGGGTACCCGACGTACTCTGCTCTATACGCTCTAAAAATGATACTCATTTGTCGTTCTTTCTATTCAGCTTCTTTGAGGTTGTTCTGTCTTTAGTGGATGCCTGTTTGTCCTTTCTCTGGGAGCTGAGTTGTGATTGACAGCTGTGTGCACGTTGCTAAATGTCTGCAGGTGGAGGAGAGTGTTAATGTGACTGAGAAGTGGATTCTGAATATGGAGGAGGAGGGAGATCTGTCGCAGGTCAGCACACACAACACACCTCTGACATGCAGCTTGTTTACACTCATCCACCTTTAAGACCAGTGTGACATTTTCCCCTGAGAATATAAAATAGTTAGTTGAACAGCTTTGTGATTGACACATGTATTGGGAAATTCACGAGGCTACAGGTCCGACGTGTGTGTGTGTGTCAGTGTGTGTGTTATCAGAGCAGTTTGTTTCTGTGGTCAGCATGTTGACACTTTGTGATCCTGGTGTTGAGATAAACATGTTTTAATCTCTAGACTCATGTGATTGAAGACGTGGAGAAGCCTGACGACAGCATAGACTTGGACAACACGGGTAAATCCTCCTTACAGTTCACTTCAACTGCCGTACACTCTCCTGGGTTCACTTCGGCCTTGTTTGTGATGTGATATGTGTCCAAATTGCAGAATAAAATGCAGGAGATTAAACCATCTTTGATAAAGGAATTCTTGTTGAACATCATTATAAGCCAGTAGATGTTCTAATCTAAGAGTGAGGTGTGTAACAGGGATATCAAAGGCATCATAAAGCCTCATTTATGATTTGATTTTGGCATATTAAAATTCAGTTTAGAGCTTTTTGTTTTTCACATTTAACACTTTTTGTCTTGAGACCTTTTACGACATTTCTATTCAAATACTTTTAAACTTACTTTTAAACTTCATTGGATAAAATGAAAGCCTACTTTTGATTCTTATACTTTGAAACTATATGAACGTTATCTTTTTTTTTTTCTGAACCCAAGAGATCGAGATGAGCTGCCATGAGAAGATCGAGAGCTGTGAGGAAGTTATGGAGGTACGAGAGACATTAAGTTCACGAGCTCAACTCTTTGGGAACATTTTACACATTCAATCATTTCCATTTTAATCTTGAGTAAAAGTAGAAGTACTCAGATCTTGTACTTGAGTAAAAGTAGAAGTACTCAGATCTTGTACTTGAGTAAAAGTAGAAGTACTCTGATCTTGTACTTGAGTAAAAGTAGAAGTACTCAGATCTTGTACTTGAGTAAAAGTAGAAGTACTCAGATCTTGTACTTGAGTAAAAGTAGAAGTACTCAGATCTTGTACTTGAGTAAAAGTAGAAGTACTCTGATCTTGTACTTGAGTAAAAGTAGAAGTACTCAGATCTTGTATTTGAGTAAAAGTAGAAGTACTCAGATCTTGTACTTGAGTAAAAGTAGAAGTACTCTGATCTTGTACTTGAGTAAAAGTAGACGTACTCAGATCTTGTATTTGAGTAAAAGTAGAAGTACTCAGATCTTGTACTTGAGTAAAAGTAGAAGTACTCTGATCTTGTACTTGAGTAAAAGTAGAAGTACTCTGATCTTGTACTTGAGTAAAAGTAGACGTACTCAGATCTTGTATTTGAGTAAAAGTAGAAGTACTCAGATCTTGTACTTGAGTAAAAGTAGAAGTACTCTGATCTTGTACTTGAGTAAAAGTAGACGTACTCAGATCTTGTATTTGAGTAGTAGAAGTCTCAGAATCTGTACTTGAGTAAAAGTAGAAGTACTCAGATCTTGTACTTGAGTAAAAGTAGAAGTACTCTGATCTTGTACTTGAGTAAAAGTAGAAGTACTCCTGATCTTGTACTTTGAGTAAAAGTAGAAGTACTCAGATCTTGTATTTGAGTAAAAGTAGAAGTACTCGATGAGTAAAAGTAGAGTACTCAGATCTGTATTTGAGTAAAAGTAGAAGTACTCTGATCTTGTACTTGAGTAAAAGTAGAAGTACTCAGATCTTGTATTTGAGTAAAAGTAGAAGTACTCAGATCTTGTACTTGAGTAAAAGTAGAAGTACTCAGATCTTGTACTTGAGTAAAAGTAGAAGTACTCTGATCTTGTACTTGAGTAAAAGTAGAAGTACTCAGATCTTGTACTTGAGTAAAAGTAGAAGTACTCAGATCTTGTACTTGAGTAAAAGTAGAAGTACTCAGATCTTGTACTTGAGTAAAAGTAGAAGTACTCAGATCTTGCACTTGAGTAAAAGTAGAAGTACTCAAATCTTGTACTTGAGTAAAAGTAGAAGTACTCAGAACTTGTACTTGAGTAAAAGTAGAAGTACTCAGATCTTGTACTTGAGTAAAAGTAGAAGTATTCAGATCTTGTATTTGAGTGAAAGTAGAAGTACTCAGATCTTGTACTTGAGTAAAAGTAGAAGTACTCAGATCTTGTACTTGAGTAAAAGTAGAAGTACTCAGATCTTGTACTTGAGTAAAAGTAGACGTACTCAGATCTTGTATTTGAGTAAAAGTAGAAGTACTCAGATCTTGTACTTGAGTAAAAGTAGAAGTACTCAGATATTGTACTTGAGTAAAAGTAGAAGTATTCAGATCTTGTATTTGAGTAAAAGTAGAAGTACTCAGATCTTGTATTTGAGTAAAAGTAGAAGTACTCAGATCTTGTACTTGAGTAAAAGTAGAAGTATTCAGATCTTGTACTTGAGTAAAAGTAGAAGTATTCAGATCTTGTACTTGAGTAAAAGTAGAAGTATTCAGATCTTGTACTTGAGTAAAAGTAGAAGTACTCAGATCTTGTACTTGAGTAAAAGTAGAAGTACTCAGATCTTGTACTTGAGTAAAAGTAGAAGTACTCAGATCTTGTACTTGAGTAAAAGTAGAAGTACTCAGATCTTGTACTTGAGTAAAAGTAGAAGTACTCAGATCTTGTACTTGAGTAAAAGTAGAAGTACTCAGATCTTGTACTTGAGTAAAAGTAGAAGTACTCAGATCTTGTACTTGAGTAAAAGTAGAAGTACTCAGATCTTGTACTTGAGTAAAAGTAGAAGTACCAGAGTGCAGGAATACTCTGTTTCAGTAAAAGTCCTGCATTCAAAATGTTCCTCAAGTAAAAGTAGAAAAGTATTCTCATCAAAATATAGTGAAAGTAGCGACAGTAAAAGTAGTCATTGTGCAGATTGGTCCATTTCAGAATAATATATATGATATGTTTCATAATGATTGATCATGAAAGTGTTCTCAAAGCTGGTAAAGGTGCAGCTAGTTTGAATGACTTTGTATACTGCAGGGTAGCTTGTGAATTTACTCCAGGTGGAACTACAGTCTGATTTAACACTTGATTATATTTCACATCATTCATCCACATCTGTAAAGTAACTAAAGGTATTAAATACATGTAGTGGAGTACAAGTACACCATGTACCTCTGAACTGTAGTGGAGGAGAAGTACAAAGTAACAGAAAATGGAAATACTCAAGTAAAGTACAAGTACCTCAATATTGTACTTAAGTACAGAACTAGAGTAATTGTACTTAGTTACTTTACACCAGAGCATACAAGGCATTTGTTTTGGCATAAATGGTGCATACAAAGACAGAAAATCTGCCATTTTGCATTTGGCTATATTGGGAATGTATTCTTTCTCCACTTAAAGGGGACCTATCATGCAAAATGCACTTTTGTAGGTCTTTTAAACATGAATATGTGTCCCCGGTGTTCCAGGGAACTCACCAAGTGTCAGAAAACACAACCCTCTCTATTTTCCTCCATACCCAAATCTCTAAAAAAGGGGCTGCAACGGATCTGATAAAAACTGATCCAGATTTGAACACTGTCCTGACGTCAGGACGGTGGCGCTACGGCTATTGGGCCAACTCCACCAATCAGGAGGAGACAGCCACGGCCATTGCCGTTCGAAAGCGCTGGAGACGCTGTAGTACATATGCCAGGCCTGTAGATGGTGCTGTTCTCACAGAATCAGATCTTGCTAAAACAGATCTAACATTTGTCAAATGGCGCATTTCCACTACACGGTCGGCCTCGGCCACACTCGGTACGGCTCGGTACGGCTTGGCCGCGTTGGGCCTTAACAGGGCCGACTCACTTCATGCTGCGCTTCCATTACAGTTTAGGAACTGGGGTAGTTACTATAGTAACGCAGTGCAGGCGGAGCCGTGACGTCATCTTCAATGAGAAATCCAGAAACACAACACAGCCGTTAGCTGTGAGCACTCAGAGCTCACAGCTCCTTATATATGTTCAGAAACTCGACAAAAGTTAAACAAGTACACACCACAGACTGCCTGTGTCATGGTGAATACAGTCGCTGCCTTATTTATGTCTGTATAGGCCGTTGTTGTGAGTGTGGACGGTCGGGGCATATACTGCGTTAGCTTAGCCAATCTCCATCTAGAAAAACACGAATTTTAAAAGGTTTTTCGCCTGCCGTCTGTCTGCAAACTTGACAAAGCATTAATTCATGGTTTTTACTAACCGGTATCAGTATGTTGTTACTTCGGCATCATTTTGAAACGTGTATTACAATTAAATCACGGTCAAATATGTCCATCTTGTTGTAGTTCTAGCCCTCTTGCCAGCGCTCCTCTCTCTAGTTTAGCATACTCAGCCCGACTCAGCCCTGTTTGTTGGCCCCGATAGAACCACAATTTTCTAGGGCCAGAAAAGAGGGGAAAAAGTGGCCCCGCGCCGTGCCGCGCCGGAACGAGGCCTAGTGGAAGCACAACCAAAAAAGGGGACGGCACGACACGGCACGCTTAAAGCGAGCTACGCGCTGCAATGGAAATGCGCCAAAATTGAGCAAAATGAGGCATGGCTAAAATGCATGATCTGTTTGGTATTTTGAAGAAAAAAAAGTATAAATATGCCTTATATAGGTATGGTCCTACACTATATTATTCAAATATAGCATGATCGGTCCACTTTAAGGAACATGGTAAACAACAAAATGTGTGATGGGAGTAAAGACACAATTAAAATGTGAGAAGATATCTTTTAAAATCTAGTATAATATACTTTCAATATAATAATAATATAATTCACAAAGTGCTTCACAAGAAGTTCAAATGAAGACCACAGAAACATGAATACAAAAACAACATGAGGCAGAAATGTAAGGTTAGCATAAAAACCAAACACAGACCACGTGGAGTCCTGAAAGGAACAGACATAAGAACAGAACACACATCTCAAGTAAAGCCAGTGTAAAAAGATGGGTCTTCAACACAAGGAAAGGTCACAAAAAGGGGTTTGCTAGCAGAATGACTGCAGGCTCAGTGTCAACATGAAGCCCCTTTGAGAGCACTTAATGACGGGTGTCGTCACGGACCATCTGTCCCCTCAGATGGTCGCTCTGGTGAAGAAGACCTCCGACATGGAGATGGGTATGAAGAGGACGAGGAGCGGACGCATCATCAGGTCCACCACGGTCAGTCAGACACTTTAAAGCTCAACAGCCAGCTAGCTGTTCACTCCTCAATCTCAATCTTTTATTTATTTATATGGCACATTTAAAGGTCACCTATCATGTCTCTTCTACATCAACATGTGTCCCCTCTTCTTCATGTCTCTTCTACATCAACATGTGTCCCCTCTTCTCCATGTCTCTTCTACATCAACACGTGTCCCCTCTTCTCCATGTCTCTTCTACATCAACATGTGTCCCCTCTTCTCCATGTCTCTTCTACATCAACACGTGTCCCCTCTTCTTCATGTCTCTTCTACATCAACATGTGTCCCCTCTTCTTCATGTCTCTTCTACATCAACATGTGTCCCCTCTTCTTCATGTCTCTTCTACATCAACATGTGTCCCCTCTTCTTCATGTCTCTTCTACATCAACATGTGTCCCCTCTTCTTCATGTCTCTTCTACATCAACATGTGTCCCCTCTTCTTCATGTCTCTTCTACATCAACATGTGTCCCCTCTTCTTCATGTCTCTTCTACATCAACATGTGTCCCCTCTTCTTCATGTCTCTTCTACATCAACATGTGTCCCCTCTTCTTCATGTCTCTTCTACATCAACATGTGTCCCCTCTTCTTCATGTCTCTTCTACATCAACATGTGTCCCCTCTTTTTCATGTCTCTTCTACATCAACATGTGTCCCCTCTTCTTCATGTCTCTTCTACATCAACATGTGTCCCCTCTGTGTAAAGAGACTCTGAAAGTTTCAGGAACAAAGATTCTCTCTCTTTTTGTCCTGATCCATTTCTATAAAAACCTGTCTGAAAATGAGCTGATCAGATTTTGGCCACTTTATGATGTCATAAGGATGTTTTGGCAACTAAGGTAACCCCCCCTCCCCACCTTATCACCTGAATCTCCTCCTAGAGCACCATTGTGTTCTTTGTAACCAAATCTCTCTCAGAGGGGCGTGGGGAGGGGCTCCTTATTTTCATCTAAAGTAACAGACAGAGAATCAGCACTTTTGAAACAGGGCTGAAACAGAGGGGATTATGGGTAATGCTGCAATGATCTGTTTGGTGTTTCAGCCAATCAGAGACAGGCTCTGTATATATCTGAGACCTGTGATATATTGATGAAAAACAGTATAATAGGGGACCTTTAAAACCACCGCAGTTGACCAAAGTGCTGTAAAATAACACAATAGGAGTAAAATAATAAAACAATATTTAAAAACAAGGTAAAAAGCACAATAACTAGAAACATATAAAAACATACAAATATCCAAATGTTATGTTCAACTAGTATTAAAAGCCAGTGCAAAGAGGTGACTTTTTAGCTGAGATTTAACCTGAGGAACATCTACACTCTTATTATTGACGTACAACTTGGATACTTGTGTGTAAATGAAGCCATAAGGATCAAAGGGATAAACAAAGGCGAAAAGTTAATATCATACTTTACTCCAAAAACACTGTCTCCTTATTTTAGGAGTGTGATTTTAAGACGCCCTATTATCCTTTGTGGGTTTTCCCTGTCTTGTAGTGTGTTATAGGTTTGTGTGCATGCATGCGGTCTGTAAAAGACTAAAATGAATTGGTGTGTGTGTGTGTGTGTGTGTGTGTGTGTGTGTGTGTGTGTGTGTGTGTGTGTGTGTGTGTGTGTGTGTGTGTGTGTGTGTGTGTGTGTGTGTGTGTGTGTGTGTGTGTGTGTGTGTGTGTGTGTGTGTGTGTGTGTGTGTGTGTGTGTGTGTGTGTGTGTGTGTGTGTGTGTGTGTGTGTGTGCGTGCGTGCGTGCGTGCGTGCGTGCGTGCGTGCGTGCGTGCGTGCGTGCGTGTGTGTGTAGCAGACAAACCTGAGAGTGAACAACATGCCACCGGCAGCGAAGAAGGACAAACTGGTGAGAATCAAATCTTTAATGTGTTAAATAAACCCTAATTTAACATACATATTCATCTGTAAATGCCCCTAGCTAAATAATGAAGCTGCACATTCACATAAAAAGCTTTTCTACTGAAGACATGGGATGGATTTTGAAATGGAAAACATGTAGGAGGCCGTAGGTTTTTGCCTCACAGATGAGTCAGCGCTGATTCTCCGAGTGGGATGTTGTCAGTAAAAATAAAAGTGTGTGTTTGACTTCTTGCCAACCGGGCGTGTCCTCTTTGTTCAGGTTTGTCAGTACGAGATCCCCAACAGCCAGGGGACACCGTGCTCCTCCTCGTCCAGCAAGAGGCGCAAGTTCAGCGAGCCCAAAGAGCACTACTGACCTGGCACCAGACGGCTGGATTGATTCACATTCATGATTTTTATATTTCAATTTCTAGTCTTTTTTTACATGGATTTTTTTATTATTGCAACATTTTTGTTTCTGTGATATTACATTGAGTTTGAACGCAACGCTAATCCAAATGGTGGACAGTTTACATGTTTGAATGTTTTCCTTGCTGCAGTATTTAAATTTCATCTTAATGTTTGTTTGACAAAGCAGGATTTCATACTTGAATAAAATATGAAATTGCATCTTGTGTTACAGTTTATGACTATACGTTTTAAAGGGGACCTATCATGCAAAATGCACTTTTTTATGTCTTTTCTACATAAATATGTGTCCCCGGTGTGTCAGGGAACTCACGCAGCGTCAGAAAATAAAACCCTCTCTCTTTTCCTCCGGACCCAAATCTCTAAAAACGGGGGAACAACGGAGCTGATCCAGATTTGCGTCCGATATGACGTAATATCTGAAATGTGGACCCACGGCCCTATCAGAAACGTTGCTATCAGAAACAATGCCCGACTGTTTTGGACGTAATATGGTCGGTGTTTACATTAGCATCGCTAACACTCAGAGCTAACCTGTACTGGAGAGCATGTGTGTGAAGAAGCAGGAAATGAAAAGGAACTCACCTTGTGGTATAACCGGCAAGAGGGAAAGCCTTTGAGCTCCATACTGTTTCAGAAATAATCCTTGATAATCCATGATATGGCGTTTCATCACGGCAGTATTTAGTTTAGACAGTAGCTGCCGGGTCCCGCATGAGCTCAGCCCCCTCCTTTTTTATTTTTTATCAATTTTTATTTTTTTTAAAGCTTTATACCCAAAATCAGCACTTTTGAAACAGGAAGTGAAATAGAGGGATATGAGGCACGGCTAGAATGGGTGATCTGTTTGGTATTTTGAGCAAAACACTTCATAGACATGTTTTTAATATATTTTTATATATCTGAGACCTATGCTATTGCCTAAAAATAGCATGATAGGTGACCTTTAAGGCAATTCAACGTGCTCATAAAAGGAACCATAAGAATACCAATAACACAAACTCAAATAGAAGAAGACGGGTATAAATACAACTATGAAAGTTACGTTGCAGTGTAAGATATGAAACGTAATTTAATTAGGTAAAATGCAGCAGTTTTTCCCAAATATTTGAAGCCTAATAAAGCCTACAAAGTCAAAACAGCTTGATACATAGTTTGTTTTATCAACAGATAACACTACATTGCAATATATTAAGATGACCCGTTTTTTAGGCAAATACATGCTTATAAAACTAGATGTGTTTCTACTGATATAAAATATAACTATGAACAGGATTTGGTTCTTTATGCCACGTTGCTCTTGATATCTATATCAAATTTAGGAAGCATGAGGCTTACGATCCTGCTCTTCATTTCACTGCTGTGTCTTTTCGTGTCTTAATGTGTGCTCCTATACAACAAACAATGGCGTTGGTATAAAAAGAGCAGTGTGCAGAGAGTACCGTCATGCAGGAGGAAGTGTGCCAGGATTTTTTGAGTCATATCTTTATAAGCTGGCAGTCATAAGGAAGCTTGTAAATGCATGTGCAGAAGAGAAAATAAGTCACTGCATACATTTGTGCATTTTTAGAGAAGGTATATACTGCAATATGTTTCAGCAATAGCTCACGACAGGCCGTGGTATATGGCCATTATATCACAATTAAGGGGCGTGGTTCGGCCCGACGCGAAGCAGTTTGCTTTTCAGCCCAACTGTATACTGTTTTTCTCAGACGCGGAGGGATACTGACTTGTTGTGAAAAGTAACTTACAATTCTACCCGTGGTATACGCTCAGTATATCACGGCTAAGAACCAATCAGATTGCTTGATTTGACTTGTCCGTTTTATAAATACATGTATGTGCTGTGTAGCCTACAAAATATGTGTATGTCAAAATCAGGCCCTTTAGATGGAGTCAAATGAATTGATTGAAGCAGAAATGTATGTGCAGAAGAGAAGAGAATAAGACAATTTAACTGCATACATTAGTGCATTTTTAGATGTATATATATATACTGCAATATGTGTACATTTGGGTGCTGTGTAGCGTACAGAATATGTGTTATTTTATTTATTCACGCCCTTTAAACTAGAGTCAAATGAATTGATTGAAGCAGAAATGCAGCTTAGCCGAACATGTAATGCTCAGCCACTGCTTCCTTCAGTATTAGCAAGACACCCGTGCTTGCTTGTTTTATAAAAAGTAAATACAGTCATCTTCTACGGGTTTAAAGATTCACCCGCTTCCTGCCAGTAAAAAAAAACAAACCCCTCTGGGACAGAAAACTCCTGAAAAACAAGCCTCCATCTTTGACTAAAAGCGCCTTGAAATGCCACCATTTGCATGCGAGGTGCCTTAAATGAAGCTGTTAAGTGAAAGTGGATTATATCTGTACACGGTGACCTTTGGGCCCAGATAAGGGTCCGTCAGCAGCCTCCCGCCCGGCAAGCTGTGTGTTTTTAATCTCCCATTGTTTTTCCCAGAGAGAGGGACATTTGCTGATAGACTGCCTTAACCCAGTGCGGATCAATACTCCAGGAAGCCTTTGTGATGCATATCCAAGCAGCCCCCACCTATGTGTCTGCAGAGGGGGGGAGAGAGAGAGCTCGAGACTCCATCAAATCAGCCCTCACTTCCCAACCATTGTCTCGGCCACTGCATTTATTTCATTGTCTCTGTGCGGTTTTTTATGGGTATTTCTGAAAGTGGAGAGTGGTGGGCAATACGCACACGGCAGCAGCAACGCATCGACGCGCTTTATGAGCTGTGAAATGAATCAGGGTTGCCTCACCTCACAGTGGCATTTCTCAAAGTTTTTCTGTTATTGTTTTGACAGCAGCGGGTGTTCTCAGGGTATTGATAAGTGATGAAATGCAATGAGGTGAAAGGCACCTTGGTAACACTTTAGATTAAGGCAAGGCAAGTGCATTTTTATAGCACCTAAATGAAAATGAAAGACATTAAGAAAATGGCATGTCATTAAAAAGCAAAGATAATCAAATAAACATTAAATGAAAAAAGTAGTGTACAGTGCAGTTTAAGATATGAATAGCTCAATTAAAGGAAAGGGCAAAAGAAAAAGTCTCCAGCCTGGATTTAAAAGTAGTAAGGTACACATATTCACATCAACTAGTTATTAACATGCATATTTGAGCCAGAAAACAACATATTCTGAGTTAGAAAACACCACATTTTAAGTTATTTTGAAACAATTAACACTTGTAGTTTCATGTCTTGCTACATCAGAATAGATAGTGTTATTATGGGAGAGTTACTATTCTTGTGCTGCCCATATTGAGACCAAAACTCATGAACAACAACTTCCGTACTTGCAATAAATAAGCATTCATTAGAGGGTTATTGAGGAAAAACTCTCAGCTAATGGCCTAGTACTTGTGGAATGTGGTCATGCAGAATAAGGCATTAATAAGTGTTTTATAATGACTAATAAAGAGCCAATATACTGCTAACATGCATGTTAATTAACAACAAGTTGATGGTGAATATGTGTACCTTCATATAAAGTGTTACGGGCACCTTTTGTGCAGGTCTAGTCATGTTTTGGAGACAAGCAGTATCTCTCTCGGCTGTAGACGTTGCAACAACACTGCATCACAGAAATGAAGCGATTAACAGAGCCCAAAAGGCTGAATGTGTCCAAGTGGAAAATACACACGTTGAGACATTGTCTTGGAGGATAACCCTTGGAGATGAGAAAGTTAAAGACTTTGATTTTTGGCAACTTTCAATGACATATTAATTGAAAAGTAAAGCCTTGTTTGTGGAAAACTATGATTTTTTTAGCAGGATTTATACTGGAATGTCTTTCATTCCTGGAGGTTTGTTTTAAAGGAAAATGATTAATAGCCAATGTTAATTCTGTACAAGTAAAGTCCTTTTATAACTATCGGTTGTCTCTTGATAACACTTGACTAGTGAGGTTAGATCTTTATCCGATTTTTTGTGGAAATACAGTTAAAGAGACCCGATTATGATTTGTTGGGCTTTCCCTTTCCTGTTTAGTGTGTTTTATAGGTTTTAGTGCATGTCAACGGTCTGCAAAGGCTAAAATCCCTGTGTTCCCTGCCTGCAACACCTCCATTGGACTCCTTTGTTTACTTCAGGAACAGAGTGACTTCGCTATGTAACACTCGCGCTTCTATTGGCTAGCGCTCCAACACATTGTACGTGATAGGCTAAGGGGCGGGACATCTCTAAGTTGTTGACCAATCACAACAGAGCCGGCCAGCTAACCAATCAGAGCAGACTGGGCTCTGGTTTCAGACAGAGGGTGAAAAGAGGTGCTGCAGCACAGACAGTATGAGACAAATAAAGAGCTTTTTGAACATTAAAGCATGGAGACAGTAGAGACACTACATACTGATATACACCTGAACATCAGCAGGAGAGGACTCTTTAAAGTAGAGACACTACATACTGATATACACCTGAACATCAGCAGGAGAGGACTCTTTAAAGTAGAGACACTACATACTGATATACACCTGAACATCAGCAGGAGAGGACTCTTTAAAGTAGAGACACTACATACTGATATACACCTGAACATCAGCAGGAGAGGACTCTTTAAAGTAGAGACACTACATACTGATATACACCTGAACATCAGCAGGAGAGGACTCTTTAAAGTAGAGACACTACATACTGATATACACCTGAACATCAGCAGGAGAGGACTCTTTAAAGTAGAGACACTACATTCTGATATACACCTGAACATCAGCAGGAGAGGACTCTTTAAAGTAGAGACACTACATACTGATATACACCTGAACATCAGCAGGAGAGGACTCTTTAAAGTAGAGACACTACATACTGATATACACCTGAACATCAGTAGGAGAGGACTCTTTAAATAGAGACACTACATACTGATATACACCTGAACATCAGCAGGAGAGGACTCTTTAAAGTAGAGACAATACATACTGATATACACCTGAACATCAGCAGGAGAGGACTCTTTAAAGTAGAGACACTACATACTGATATACACCTGAACATCAGCAGGAGAGGACTCTTTAAAG